GTACTAAAATTTACTTTAGGAATTGGCAGAAGGTTTTGCATAAAACATTGAACTGTTGAATCATTATGTAATTTTTACATAAATTCACCAGGCAGAGATCAAAAACCCTAAAAGAATTTATACATCACTTAAGGCAAAAATTGTAGGAAGATAATTTCTTCTTTCAAAAGAGAAGATCTCTGTGCAATGGTAGAATCATTCCATAAAGTGACAAGTTTCATCTGGGAATATCCATTGTTCCATAGAGTCCACCATTGAAAGGGGAAATGCATTAGGAAATCTGTTAAAAGTMTTTTTTACTTTAGATTGCTGTAGTCACGGCATGCTATTCACAGGTCAAAAATGTTTTTCCCATTTTCTGCAAACTATTTTTGGTGCTTCAAGTGGGGGCAATTGTTTTGCAAGTTGATGTCTTAATGTGCAGAGAAAATGGTTTCAGTTATACTTACACGCTTAGAAAATGTTTTAGGTTAAAATCCATGGATTGCTCCTCTCCACTTTTGCTATTGACATGAAACGCTTGCTTTGCAGACAAATTATGTGGATGAAGTTGTTGTGCATCATGGCATATAAGGATGCGACTTCTTACCAACTTTGCCCTGGGTTATCACATTCCTACAGCTCCAGAAAAGGGCATGATGAAGTGTGGTGGGTCAGACAGCACTTGGCCAGCTTCAAGTTTGTCCTTGAGCTTGTATTCCAGTAGAATTCAGAAGCATGAGTCTAATTGAAACTCCARTAATTAAAATACAGTCAAAAGATTGAGACAACAAGACTTTAGAGTGAATCTGAAATTATTTGTGGTTTCAGAAAGTTTGCAAATTGTAAGCTCAGAACCTTCATTTTTCTTGAGTATAAAATGAGCTTAATTTTCACTCTGTGTTGGTAACTCCTGGAAGCACAGGTAAATGCCTTGTGCATTGACATGCTGAATAGACCTGAGAGACTTTATGATTTTAATGGAAAGAGTGAAAAACAAGCAGAGTTTAAGTTGATGCCAAGACAGACTTGGCAGGGGAAGAGGGGAATGGTTGATTGTTAAATGGAAATTCAGGGAAATTTGAGACCCTGCATGACCTGTTAAAAAAAGCCCCTGGCATTACACACATAGTTAAGATTTTAGTCAGCATAACAGTGATCACTTATGTCATAAAGTATGAAAGTTTTGCCATCACTTCTATGCAGTAGTTTGTATGGCAACTGTTGTTGCTTGTGATTGTGTTGCTTGTCACAGGTGGTAATCTTAAGATTGTATCAGTAAAATTTTATGCTATACACTCATCATTGAGTTTGATATACACTACACCAAAAATGTCCTACAGAAAAGTTTATTTACTAACAGTTCAGAGGGTTTTACATTTTTATTGTAGGTAGTTTTCATTTTCTGCTTCTGTAAATCTACTCTTTAGTTATTTCATTGCTGTATATAGTCAAGAAAGGAAGATATTTTAATGCACATATAAAAAGCCTGTAAGAATTACTTGTAGTAAAATTCAGTATCTGAACAAAGTGCACCTAAGATTTACTGCCTTGAAACTTTACAGGAAATAAAAAACATGTGCACTGCAGTGGATGAAAGCTGATAATCCAACTTTTCCCATATGAAAAATATGGGATTTTAAAAACTGGATAATGATTTAAAACGTTGTAGGCATGATTATGATGTTATGTTGMCTGTCTTGCTCCAAAAGTTAGAATAATTCTGGAAGAAGAAAGCCTTTTGTGGTTATAAATTAAAAAAAGCAGTCAAGATGTAATGTGCTTGCCAAGTGACTTCTTTTTTATCACTGGTTTATGCAAGTCAAAAAGAGATTATTCTAGTTCACAGAACTGATAGAATGGAAGAGAGAAAAGAGATTGTTTTCTATTCTGGGTATGTTATCCATGAATACCCTACATTTTCTCTTTGTGTTTCTCATTAAAGATCTACCACAAGAAGAGACAAAAACATGTTGGAAGGCATATTCGAAATATTTTTGATGCTGTTGATTGCATTTTTAGTTTCCACTTGCCTGGCTTCATTCAAACAAATGTGTGCTAACATGTATTTCATCATCAAGTCTGTCTTGGAGCTTTCTGTCCTTTTCAATGCATTGAAGAGTCATGTGGGATTTTTCATGGTGGGTGTTTACAAATTTTTTCTGTACTTTCTGAAACTTCTTCAGTTTCTTTACTGAAAAGAACGAAGTTGATTTCCAGCTGCTTTGTGAGAGGGTCTATTATCCTATTCTTTATCATRCCTTGACCTTCTCTACTGTGAGTTGCTACATTAGTTATTTGCTCCTAGTGCAGTAGATTCTGTGATTCTATAGAAGTGCATCCTGAAACGTCCTCTTCACTCAGAGGAGCATTCTATGGTGTGCAGTGCAATGAGAAGCATTTCACCTTATGAACTGCATTTTTTGGTTTTCAGTTGTTCTTAAAATTTGTCTTCAGATGAYTTTATATGTATTTGAAACACATAAAGATACTAAATGCATTGGCCAATACTATGTATCCGACATCTTGCATGACTTTTCCATGGTTATGAGCATTTTTCARTCGGAGATAGCTGCTACTTAAGTCACATATTGTTAAAAAGAAGTGTTTGTTTAATGGCACAGGATAGATAAAGGAAAAACAACTTAGATTTTACTCTGCGTCTGTCAGTGTTCACTTGTATTGCCTTCTTTTTTTTTCCCTGAAATAAAATAGTATTTAAGTGAAGCATAGTTTCTGARTCATTCATGTGTGAGCATCAGCTGTAACTGCTTAGGAGCCATTGCTGTTTACATTTTATAGTGATGGACAAAAGTGAAAGCATTGTAATAAAATTAAAATATGTTCCTTGAACTTCCATGTGAATCTGCTTAGAGGTGGTGGAGTAACAAATTACAAATTAAAAAYCTTGTCGCTTTAAGAGAGATATTTTATTTTCAAGTCCTTCAAGCAGTAAAGTCACAGGCATCATACCRGTTTATACTGTGCTTAATGTTTAATCTCACTGTAGTGAGGAGTGCAGCTAAGATGAAATGCAAGTGAAGAAAAGTGTTGGGATAGGAGGAGGCATTGACCTTCCCAAAGTTACTTTATTAGTTTCAGTAATATCAGTTGAAGTATTGGTTCTTGAGTATTGTATYCAGTTTTAGTCCCCTTACTGTTTAAAATGAGATTGAAGAGAAATTAGTAGAAGTTTCTCAAGAACCCCAGTGATGGAAATGATGACTTCTGTATGAAGGATTAAAAAAAAAAAAGTCAACCAAACATCACAATGATGGTGTGACTACAGTTTGAAGAATGGAGTAAAAATAGTATCTTGTCAGCTTGGTATGATTTACATCAATGGTCCTGGTGTCATCCATTAATTTCAGTGGACGTTTTTACCTTGACCACCTAGAAATCCTACAAGAGTAGCATGAAATTATGAACGGAAAAGCCTAATCCAGCTGGCTTTTCTTGCCTATCCTGTGCCATGAAACAAGATGAACAAGATGAACAGTAATTGAAATACCACCATAATACATTTTAAGTAAATCAGTAATGTTGCTCCAACACACAATTAGCAGGTGGTGTCTGAATGATCACTGCATTTGTCTACTGTGGTGTTTCCCTCTATACAAAAAACTGCTGAGAAATGTTGTTGTAATAGGGAAAGAACATTGTTGCATTGTGCTTTGTTGACTGATAGTACACAGCTAACCGCGGCTSTCAGTGAGCACTCAAAGTTTATTTTTTAAAATTGCTGTGAATATTTGTACTTTTGCCAGTTAATCTAAGAGTAGGAATGCCAATGAGTGGAATAAAATATGGAAAATAATGCTGTGTTTTATATAGCACCTGCCATACTCTAGAATGTTAAAGCACTTACTAAATAGATGCTGATGCTGAGATGGATAAAATATGACAGTGCCTGTAAGCAAATATATCACCTGCTAAGCTTTCAGCAATACAACTGGCATAAAGCCTTGAGCACCATTAAAACTGCTACTGAAAGAAAGAACTTGGCTAGACCTCTAAGGAATAAGCCCCTAATATGTGTTTCATTTTAAAAAAAGGTGATAATGATCGTAGAAATTCTAACAAACCAAAATAAGACTGGAAAGACCTTGAGATACTGACTAATCTAGCCCTGCAAAGCAGGTTGAATTTAATACCTGGGTTTTTTTTTAGTACAGCTGTTTAAAAATCTGCATGACATAATAAAACTTCAGTAGGGTCTGCGCAAGTCCTCTCTTACAACATCACYGTGTTTGTAGAAAGACTCCTCCTTATAATTTATTATTATTTATAATTATTTAAATTATAAAATTATATATAAATTATATATTATAAATTATAATATATAAATTATTTATAATTTATTATATTTAAGTTGTCTGACTTTGGTTTTGGTAGGTGAATTGCTGCATGACCTAGCCAGTAGAGTGCAGTCAAGGTTATTCCAAAGAGTGTGCTACTTTCTTTCAGATGTGATGATGATGATGGAAGTGCTTTTAGTTTGTTTCCTCTCTGGCTAAATAGTCCTAGTATATTGAGTCCTTCTACATAATTCCTTCTTGGAGACTTGTGGTAATTTCTGGTACTGTCTTTGGACACTTCAGATTGTTTCATTTTTTTATAAAGGTTGTGCCAAAAATTTGACTTATTTCTTTCTTTCTGCTAAATAGGACAGGTATGCCTTCCTMTTCTATGTGGTGTATGTTTCTGTTTATATACCCATAGGATGGCTCTTTTCTTTTTTTAAACCACATTTTGAGCTTTTATTGAGCTGATGGTCTATTATAAACCCCGATTCTCCTCTGAGGAAGCTGCTGTCTAGCAGTTTACTTGCTTTGCTGTTGGTGTGCAGCTGTATTTGACGAAGTATGGAAATTTGCACTTGCCCCTGGCAGATTGTTCAGTTATTTTTCTGACTAGTTCTCTAGTCTGGCAGAGGGATTTTGAGTTCCAGCCCTGTTATCCAGCATACCTGCAGTGCTGGCTCTTGATGATCAGCAGATCTAAGCATGTCCTCTGTTCAGTTCTGTAGGTTGCTAATGGAAACATTTCACTGAAACTGGACCAAGATCAGAACCTTGCAAAAACCCACTCAGCAAACTGTCTTGTGTTTGACAGAGAGCTATTAACAATTTTTTGAGGTCAGTAATTTTTGCCTTCATTCACTAGTTATTTCCTTCATTCACTAGTTATTTCCTGCTTATGAGAAAGCATGTGTGAGGGATTCAGCTCATGCCTTTTCTTTGGTAATGTAAGCTGGAAAGTCTGAAAGGGAAATGAGGAATCTCAGGTTTCTGGCCTGTGCTACCTTTTTCCCACTGTTTCTCAGTGGGATAGAGTACAAGTTGAAATTTTTAATAGTCTGATAGTGCATAAGTAACAAGTAGGAGCAGTTAATTGTAAGTGCAAAGTAGGATTTGATTTTTGTTTAATAATCTCATAGCACATGAAGAAAAAAATGTCGGAGGTGCTTCTTTGCAGATTAGTAGCTACATCTTTGCCAATAGTTGGATGGTCAGATAAGGGTATTCTGTGAGTGTTTTAGCAGCTTTTATAGTCAGACCTCTGTTGGACTCCTGGATGCTTATAACAACGCAGATCACAGATGCTAGAGAAGAGASAAATATGAAGGTATCCTTTCAAACATCAAAGAATAGTATTTTGTTTCAGAACTTACATTTAATTTCTTCACTGGTGTGTGTTTTGTGTCATTTGTTTGTATAGGAAGAAATACATCATGGGCTAAATTGTGTGTTATGAAGGCATTATGTGACACACTGAAAAACACATAATTCAATGTAAAATTTTCTTTTTTTTTTTTCATCAGAGAGAAGGCCAAACACACCAGCATGACTATAGCCAGATATAGTTATTGGTGTTCTTACTGTAGTGTTTTACTGGTGGTGTCTTGTTGCCTGTGGAATTGAAACAAACCCTAATTAAGATAAGTCCAGGTCTGATAATATTTATGCTAATTGCCCACAGATTGCTAAGAATAAACTTGTGATTTTTGAGGGAAATAATAGAAGTTAGCKTGACAGTCGTACTGATTGCACTAAATTTGATGCTCACAGAACTTAAACTGAATAAAGTGTGGATGTCGTTAGGATGGAAAATGAATGTGGTGATTATTTGAACAGTTGAATGCAGGACATTCTGATGGAGATGTAATGTCATTTACAACATGTTTTTGAGTGTACCTGGTATGTCAAAAGATTGTGTTCTAGAGTTCTTAATAAACAGATTTGAGTTCTGGCCTTAAGCTACAAATTCCTGCTGTGTGAGATACATCTAGTTTGGGGTTCAGGCGTTCAGAACTGTGCATGGTTTTGTAGTTATCTTTATAAGGCTTAACCTGGGAATGAGTTGGGTGCCACCCTTCTGCAAAGTGGTGATTTCCAGTCTTAAGTRTGAATATATGTCATCTTTGGACACACCAGAAGATATATTTCTATTATTTGTTTCTCAATTTCCAGCAAACTTGTAGCAAGTACTACAAAAAGCTGATTAGGCTGAAAAACCACTGAAATTTAGCTCTTCTTTTTCTGATGAAACACGATGCTTTACCCACTTCACGTGGTATCCAATTAATCATAATAGCAGAGAAGTAATTTGAAAGTATAAAACAGGCATTAAAAGAGCTTTCCSTAGTYTGCTGCTTTGTTGGGAGRGRAAAATGGTTTTAAGACTTGCYRGAAAAAAAAWYMTWWT